TGGCGAATACAGCCCAGCTCAGGTCAGCCACTCATACCATGTACAGTCAGCTAGAACAGGGGCCAGGGTTGCCCTGGGCTTCCTCGGGGGGCTTGAGGACAGGCTGGCTGAGGAGGGACTGCTCAACAGTGAGGGCCTCCTTGGCCATGATCCGGACCCCCAGGTCTGGCCCTCCAAGGTGGAGAATGGTGGGGGCCCCCCGTCACTGCCAGAACACAAGACAGCTTTGTCCTTGGGCCGTCCTGGGAATTGAGGAAACCCAGAGCCAGAACCCAATTGGAGGACAGGGAACGATCTGCTTACTCCACCCGCCTGCACCCCCACACCCCGACCCCGGCTATAGTTTTTCCAAGTCTTGAAGCTCAAGCTGCCTCCTCCTCAAACATGCTGGATCCTCCAGCTTTGTCTGCAGAAAAAGTCATCATCTCCCGTTCAGGGTTCCAGTTTTAGATGTTGGAGCCCTGTGCGTTGAAAACACAGCGCTGTCTCTCACCCACGCAGGAGCAGATGCCTAGAGAATCTGGCGAGCATCTAGGAGAAGGCAGCGGCCTCAAGCCTGGGGAGGAAAGGAAGCCCGGGGTGGGGCTGAGCCGGTCTCCAAACAGCTCCAGGCAGAGAGCGCAGCCCCTGCAGGCCGCAAAAGGAGCCAGAGTGAGCCCGTGGGGATGCAGGGGCCCGAGGGCACTGCCCAACCCTTGTCTTCCTTCTGGCAGGAACTCCGTGTCTCTTTTCTCCAAGCCCTCTGGGGGGCTCTTAAAGAGCCGCAGGAGAACTGGGGGGAGATGCAGCACAGTTTCAAAGGGGAAAGTGTGGCAATGGGGCTGTGCGGCCATTTCTTGCTTTATTGGGTCTGTGTGAGCCAAGGCAGGACACAGGCATGGGAGAGGCCCAGGCATGGGCTTGGAAGTCAAGCACCCTTGGTGCTACGGGTGCTGGGGGTTTGGGGCTTAAGTACACACAGCCTGATGCTTTCAGGCCCTGCTTGGGATTCATGCACTTGCCACAGCCATAGGGAGCTTCCCTGATAGCTCAGTTAGTAAAGAATCTGCCTGCAATGCAGGAGACCCCAGTTTGATTCTTGGGTTGGGAAGATCTGCTGGAGAAGGGATAGGCTACCCACTCCAGTATTCTTGGGCTTCCACTGTGGCTCAGCTGGTAAAGAATCCCCCTGCAATGCGGGAGACCTGGGTTTGATCTCTGGGTTGGGAAGATCCCCTGGAGAAGGGAACAGCTACCCACTCCAATGTTCTGGCCTGGAGAATTCCATGGAATGTATAGTCCATGGGGTCACAAAGAGCCAGACATGACAGAGCGACTTTCACTTTCACTTTCACTTTCACAGCCATAGGCGGCCTGTACCCCAGATCCTGACTCCGTCTTCAGGCCAGTGTGTTTCTGGGCAAGGCAGCACCCAATTCCCAAGCTTTGCTGGCCTCCTGCAGACAGAGAGATGAGGCCATCCCTGGCAGAGAAGGCTCCTTAGAAGCCCTGGAGCAAAGGTTACGCAGATAGAGGCAATAAATCACTTTTGTATCAATCAAGCCTGTGGCATCATTCTCAGAATTCAAGCGTGTGGCATCTTTCTCTCAAATCTTTTATTCCATCCATTCATTTGACTAACATTCACTGCGCCCCTCCCAAGTGCCATGTTCTGTGCCAGGTGCTGGGGCTACTCGGGTCCCCTGTCCTCCAGACTATCAGGGAAGACAGCTACCTACAGAAGCCGAGAATTACAGTGGGGTGTGATTGAGGTTTTTCTAGCGGGGAACTCAAAGGGCTGTAGCACTGAAAAAGCAGTTAATTCTTTTTCTTTTTTTTTTAAACCAAGCTTTAAACTTTTTATTTTGTACTGGAGTATAGCCGATTAACAATGTTGTGGTAGTTTCAGGTAAACAGCAAAGGGACTCAGCCATACGTATACATGTATCCATTCTCCCCAAAACTCCCCTCCCATCCAGGTGGCACATATCATTGAACAGGGTATTATGTGCTACACAATAAGTTCTTATTGCTTATCCATTTTACAAATATCAGGGTACACATGTCCATTCCAAAGTCTCTAACTGTCCTTTACCCACCGGGTACCATAAGTTCATTTTCTAAGTCTGTGAGTCTTTCTGTTTTGTAAGTAAGTTCATTTGTATCATTTATTTTTAGGTTCCACATATAAGGGATGGCATATGATATTTCTCCTTCTCTGTCTGACTTACCTCACTTAGTATGACACTCTTTATGTCCATCCGTGTGGCTGCAAATGGCATTATTCCATTCTTTTTAATGGCTGAGTAATATTCCATTGTATATATGTACCACATCTTCTTTATCCATTCTCCTGTCGATGGACATTTAGGTTGCTTCCATGTCTTGGCTTCCTGGAGGAGGGCATGGCAACCCACTCCAGCATTCTTGCCTAGAGAATCCCATGGACAGAGCCTGGTGGGCTACCATCTATAGGGTTGCAAAGAGTTGGATGCGACCCAAGCAACTGAGCACCGCACAGCATGTCTTGGCTATCATAGACGGTGGAAAAAGCAGTTAATTCAATCGGGAGTCAAGAGAGCCTTCCTGGAGGAGGTGGCATTTTCTCTTGAGCTTTGGAAGAGTTAACCAATAGGAAGGAGGCCCTGGCAGACTTGGAGAAGGTGAGACATTTGAAGTCTAGGGTGAGGTAGGAGGGGACCGATCTGGCTGCAGAGGGCAGGAGGAGTAGCCCCCCATCTGGGTGTCATCCTGGCCCAACTGACCTCTTAAACTTCCAGCACTGAGCCTCTGCATCTGCTGCTAGCATGGCTTCCGTTGGCTTCCAACTTTATATAGGATGAGGCCCTGTACAGGGGTGGGGGAGGGAACTGGCTCTTGGGGAACAGAGGCTGTATTTCCCAGGCTCTGCCAGAACCCCAGGGTTGCTCTGGGGGAGGGGCTGGAGGCCCTGCGTGCCTGGCAGGGCCCAGGTTGCACACATCACCTTGGCAGTTTGTGGGCAAACCCTCTTGGCCGAGGGGAGGTTGCACTGCCAGCCACTTCCTCCAGTTCCTTCCCTCTGCCTGTCGTCACGGTTACCTCGGCCTTGTTGGGGGTGAGGTAGAGGTTGGGCGGAATCAACTTTGTCCGGGTTTCTATTTCCCCAGATGCGGGTCAGCCAGAGGAGCTGTCACTTCTGGTTCGGTTTCAAAGGAGGCCAAGGGGCTGGGAGGTGCTTGGGTGCGGCCGTGTTGACAGGGCACCTCTCCAGCCAACCTCCCAGGCCGGGAGGGTGTGGGTCAGGGAGAAGCTCCAAGGTGGTGGACCAGGAGACGGGGCGGCCCCTGCCAGGGCCTGTGCCGGGGGCCGTGGGTGCCAGTCTTCGGCTCACCCCTCGGTCCTGAGCTCCTGGAGCATGCCGGGAATGCAGGCAGAAAGGCTGTTTATTTTCCTGGCCTGCAGCCCTTTCGGGCTGAGACCTTGTTCCAGGCCTCAGGCTGCCAGAAGCACCCCCACTGGCTCCAGAAGTGAGAGGGTTGGCAGGCCCAGGGCCACCCGACGACTTCTCCAGTGGCCTCGGACTCTGGACCGTATCCAACCCAGCCGATCCCGTGTGTCCTTCAGAATCCCCTAGCAGGCAGTGGACCACGAGAGGCTTCACATCCAAGTGATCCTGATGGGCTGGGGCTGTGGTCAAGATCAGGGAGGGTGACGTCTGAGAAATCGGAGCGGGAAGCCTGACTCTAGCATCTCCTCGCTGGAGGGCCTTGGGCAAACTGAGTGGGTGAACCTTAGTCTCACCGTCTGTGAAATGGGGCAGTCATAGAACTTCCTCATCAGACTGTGAGTGTGAGGATTATAGGACCTGTGTTGAAAGCATTGAACAAAGAGGGCAACAGATGGCAGCTCTTGTTATTATTAATAATATTAAACAGTAATAACCACAGCTCTGAAAGTCCATACTGGCGGGCAGTGAGCCTCTTCTTTACCATTCGGCGGGCTCTGTTTCACACATGGTAAGATTTCTAGTGTGTGTGTGTGTGTGTGTGTGTGTGTGTGTGTGAAAGTCACTTAGTCGTGTCTGACTCTTTGCGACCCCATGGACTGTACCCAGGCTCCTCTGTTTGTGGAGTTCTCCAGGCTAGAATACTGGAGTGGGTGTCTGTTCCCTTCTCCAGGGAATCTTCCCGACCCAGGGATCAAACCCAGGTCTCCTGCATTGCAGGCAGATGCTTTACCAACTGAGCCACCAGGGAAGTAAGTCTAGACTCGGAAGCCTTCTCTGCCTGTGTCCTGAGAAGGGCACTTTGGGGAGCCCCTGGGATCTTGGGGTGCAAGTGGGTATCCTAGAGAAAGAAAGTGCAGAGGCAGTGTGCATGTGTGCTCAGTTGCTCAGTGGTGTCCGACTCTTTGCCACCCCAGAGACTGCAGCCCACCAGGCTCCTCGGTCCATGGAATTCTCCAGGCAGGAATACTGGAGTGGGTTGCCATTTCCTTCCTCAGTGCATAGGCAGAGGGAAGGACGAACCTGGTGAGGGGGTGGAAAGACTGCTCCATCATCAGAAGAGAGCTGAGGGTTCGGAAGGACCCGAGGGGGAGGACAGGGAGTGAAAATGGGTGGAGCAGAAGGTAAAATCAACACTCATGCTCAAGGTGTTTTGAAAGGAAATGCCTGGGAGCTGCTGGCCTGGAAAACAGTGCCCAGAGGCTTCGCGCCAGGCCCGGGAACAGACCGCCTGTTGGGTGTCACCTCTGAGTGAGGCGATCGCCAGGCCCCAGGCCTTGTGAACTCTGGCAGAACCCTCGCGGCCCTGCCCTCCTGGGGCACTGGCTCCTCCCCGGGATGCCCACCTGCTCTGCAGGCGTCCTGGGGGCCAGCTGGGAACGGCTGCATCCCACCCGCCGAGAGGCCAGCGGGCTGGCAGGGCGGCTCACGCATGGCAGGATGTGGGTTGGTCGTCCGTCTGTCCGAGTCTCGGGAGGGCAGCTGGCCGCCAGGCTTGCCTCGGTGTCTCATCCGTGGCTTTTTGCCCCCACAGCTAGACGAGGAAGAGGAGCGGAGGAAACGGCGTCGGGAGAAGAACAAAGTCGCGGCGGCCCGATGCCGGAACAAGAAGAAGGAGCGGACGGAGTTTCTGCAGCGGGTGAGGGGGCAGCGGCCAGGGTGGGCCCCGGCCTTGTCCTTTAGAGGCTTGTGTGCTGCTGGAGCGGGAGACAGCATCCCGGGCCTGCGGAATCAATGCGTGCTCACTGGCATCAGCCCAGGCGGTCACGACCCCTCTGTTCCTACCCCCACTCCTATCCAGTGCCCCCTCCCTGAACTGAGATGACCCAGGGGGCAGCCTGGTCGCAGGAAGGCCAGAATCGATGGAGGAGCCAAGTTCCCCGCCTCCAACTGAGGTTTAGGTCCTCGGCGCTGAGGGGCCCCGGTGGCGCAGGACAGGTACTCCCCATGATGGTGCACTGAGGGCTCCCAAACCTGCCTGGCGCGGGTGCAGATGAAGTCGGTGGTAGCTCCCTGCACGGGGGCAGCGCCTGCAGCCATGGGGGCAGGAAAACACTCCTTCCTCGAGTGCAGAAGGCTCTTCAAGCCCCGACTCCCATCAGCCTGGATTCAGTCCCACCGAAGGTGACACCCCCCCCACCCCCAGCTCTTGACTGCTGCCTCCAGGAGGACCACAGAGGTCAGCTCTGCACGCCGAGGCCAGTGGACGGCTGCCTTGCCTCATGGCCCTCAGAGCACGCCTCTGCCCTTTCATTTGGAATATGTCAAACAGGCGTTTGTTCCTTCTTCTCTCCCTTAGGATTTCCCTCCTGGTTTTGCTTTTCAGAAATGGTTGATGACTTTAAAGGGACGTGACCAAAATGCTAACTGGTCCCAGGTGGTGGTCTCCAGCCTCCCCACTCCCAATCTGTTGTTGGTTTCCAAATAACAATAGTGACACTGCAGAATAGTAATGTCCTGGGTCAGGCTACCTTCCACAGTGAGCGAAAGTTAGCAGTGGCTGCTAACATTTGTGAAGTGCGGCCCTGTGCAAAGCGCAGTGCGCGTTTTACTGGCATCATAGCTCTATGAGGGAGGGGCCTGCGCTATTCTCGGTCTGCTGACGGGGACACTGAGGAAGGCACGGGGGTGAAGTAACTTGTCCAGTCACTCGGCAGCGACCTGGGAGAACCGAGATCCGGCCTGCGGCTAACTTCAGAGCATCCGTCCTCAGCACTCTGCTCTACTGGCTCTCATTCATCCATCCCTTTGTTCATTCCTTCTTTTGCTTGTTTGCTGCTTTGTGGATAGGCAGTGTTAAGCATATCCGGAGTGCCTGGCCCTGTGCTCAGTGGGCTGGGGCCACATCACCGAGGAAGGACGAGTCATGGTCCCTCCTATGGGAGCTGGAGAGACGAGGCCAGGTTGGCCTGGGTCTTCTCTGGAGATCGATGGGTCTCCTCTCATTCTGGCAACAAGCAGAGAACAAATCGGAGGTCACGGGTGTCAGCACCTTGGGGCTGTGTGTGCACCTCCGGCTGTGAGCGTCTCAGCGGGGGAACGGTCAGTATAGGCGGGACTTAGACTCTGGAGCTGGAAGCCCCTCGGAAGGGATGGTGGACCAACGCCAAGAGGGAAGCTTTTAAGAGATTTCTAAGACATGGGTCTCACATAAGCCTTTAAGATGGATGGAGTGTCACACACCTCATTTCCAGCCCTGAGAGCCTGCGGAGCTGGGCGGGGCACAGAGGGAACACTCATATTCCGCCCCCCGCCTTCCAGGGCCTGTCAGCCAGCCAGCAGGCAAGCTGTGCCAAGTGACTACACACCAGTGAGACACTAGTGCCACCAACAGTCAGTGACAGATGAGCGGGCAAGCAGCTCTGCGCATTCCAGTGACACGGGCTGAGCACCTACTGTGTGCCAGGCATTTCCTGGGTCCCATTTGGTCTCATTCCACCGAGCTAGACCCTGCCGATCCCCCTTTTAGACACGTACTTGTAACACAGAGAGGTAAAGTTCCTTGCCCGAGGTTACCACTGCCAGCGTGCGTTGGAGTCAGGGTTCATCCATCCATTTGCTGATCCATCCATCTGTCCTCAATGCCGAGTGAGCGCCCGCCACACAGTGGGCCCGCAGGCAGGGGCGGCAGGCGGAAAACAGGGATGGGATGTGTGCTGAGCATGAGGTTGGGCAAGCCCAGGTGCGCTGTGAGCACAGATGGGGGGTGGGGCGGCTGCCCGAGTCGAAACTGCAGAATGACTCCTGATGGGCCCATAGACCAGTGGCAGGAGCCCACTTGGGGAGGGACAGGGCCAGAGGGGTCACCACGAACAGCCAAAGCACAGGCCAGAGGCCGAGCTGTTGTTTAAGGATGTGGTGATGGGATTGAAAAGAATGCCAGTGTGGCTAGAGTGCGGGGTCCACGGAGAGAAAGGGGCCCAGAGCCTTCATGTGTGGGGTGGTCCCCGTGCTGGCTTGTCCAGGGCAATCCCGCTTTAACTAAGCCTGTTGTCCTGGCCTGGTTATTAAGAACACCTTCTTTCACTCTCATGCCGGGTCCCCCTTAGGATGAAGTGTGTGGTGCCGGAAAGCCATGGGAGGTTTCGGGAGGAGAGGGACATACCCTGTCGCTGTTGTTATAGCAAGAGGTGTGGACTGGGGGACCACCCCCCCGCCCCGCCTCCCGGGGCTGGAGTGGGAAGATCGGTTACATCACTGTGTTATGCCCAGGGAAGGAGAAGGCAGCTGTGGACCAAGAGACGTGCATGGCCTTGGGGTCTGGGAGGGGGGCCTGGGCAGTTCTACTGGGGCCCACGCCCAGCCGCCCACCATGCTCCCCTCCTCCCCTCTGACCTTGGAGGCTGAGGCCACGTGTAAGGGTTAGGGCACAAAGGTGAAGGCTGTGTGGACAGTCCATGCCTGATGACTTGAAGGATTCGCTTGTCGTTTATTTTTTAATATGCCAAATATATACAAGGCTCAGAGGTACAAAGGTATATGTATGTGTATGTGCACACACACACATGCGTACACACATATGGGCTTCTCAGGTAGCACTGGTGGTAAAGAACCCACCTGCCAATGCAGGAGATGTAAGAGATGCAGGTTTGGCCCCTGGGTCAGGAAGATCCCCTGGAGGAGGGCACGGCAACCCACTCCGGTATTCTTGCTGGGGAATCCCATGGACAGAGGAGCTTGGCAGGCTGCAGTTCATAGCGTCGCACAGAGTTGGACGTGACTGAAGTGAGTGAGCACCATGCACGCATACACATGTATATGTACAATATAAAAAGTCACCCTCCCATCCTTGACCCCTGGGGACTCATATCCAGGCTAGGCAATTCCTGTGGCATCTCAGACGTCATCTGCCTCGACCAGGCAAGGCCCTGAAGGAGGCAAGAGGCAGGCCTTTGTATGGGTCAGATCCCTGGCCCTGCAGGCCCCAGGGCCACCTGAGCACCTCTGCTGTCCACAGGCAGGAGCAGTGGCTGCTGGGGGGCCGGCCTCTGCAACCCCACTGGGCCGGACACGGTTCCCTGGGAGTGGGCAGCAGTTAACACTGTCGCACACTCCCCTGGTGCACGTCGATCTTCAAGACCACTCTCTCCTTGATGGCCACAGTGACTCTGGGAGGAGGCAAGGCAGCCGCATCCACTGGCTCAGATTCTGAGACTCGGAGAGATTCACGCAGTGGCCGAGTCAGGATGGGGACCCAGAGCTTCCTCCACTGCGCAGCCCCCTACTCACCCTCCCCTGGGGGATCTAGTTTACAGCAGCCTAGCTGGCAAGTGGCAGAGTCAAGATTTTAATCCAGACAGGGCTTTGGGGCTTGGAAGTCTGCATCAGGCTATTTTTTTCTTACAGAAAAAAAAAATGTTGGGAAGTGGAGGTGTATTTTAAGTGCATTAGGGTAACTTTGAAAAGTAAATCAGAGAATCTTCATGCTGAAAGTCCCCTGGGCCAATCATATTATTATCTGGGGGAGGGGGGCGGAAACTGAGGGCCAGAGAAGGGAAATGACTTGGCCAAGGGCTCACTACCTGGACACCCCAGTGTCTCACCCTGTGTTTTCTCTGCCGCCTTCACTGATGCCACGCAGGAGACAGAACCTCCTGCACGTGCATTAATTCCATTCTGAAATGACAAATGGCTTCATTTTCTTTAGGGCGGTAAATATCTACCAGAGGCAAAACGATAAACAAAAATGCAGAGTTGTTCACTTCCTAATTAAGGTGTGAAGATCCTAGCCCATGTTGATTGAATTAATTAGGAAAACAGATTAGGTAATTGTTGTTCTAAAACCACAAACTAAAACCACTTCTACAATCACGGCTAAAAAAAAAGAATTTTCAGAACTCAGTTTATACTTACCCAGTAAATACATACGTAACATCGACTAATAAAACAGGAGAAAATCAAACAACAGAGCAGCTAGTTACAGCCTGACAGACTGTCAAAGCTCAGGATATTCCATGATGTACCTGCACATTTTCAAACAAGCAGAATGTCATGCCATTGCTATGATAAATGCACGGGGAAGCAAGTTGCACACCCCGACTTGGTCTTTTTGTGTGATACCGATGTGAGGTGGGTGTGATGTCTTTTCACGGGCGAGGATGTGTGCGCTGGCCTGCCGGACCCTGCCCCTTGCTTGTCCCATTCTAACTTTCATTTCTGGCACAACCCAGCCCTTCCTCGTCCTGCCCACCGCTCTCCAGAACAGCTGCCACCTCCCCGCTTCCTTGGACCCTCCCCCATGCTCACAGGCTGCTGTATACCCACCACCCACTCTGCAGACGCAGGCAGTCTCCCAGATCTGCCAAGTTTTCTTGGAAATGGCCTCCTCCTCTGCTCTCCTCCTTTGCTTCTTCATTCCCCCCTTGCTCATGGCTTAAAGCAAAAATTCCTTAAGCCTCCCTAACCCTTTGGTTTACAAAGTGCTTTTCCCACGTGAAGTCATTTAATCCCCCACAATCATCATTTTTTTACAGAGGAGATAACTGGGGTTCAGGGAAGTTAAGAAACTTGCTCTTGACTCTGATTTCCAAACCCCAGGTCTGGCTCTAAACCCACCTTCCCAGCTTGGTGCCCTAATAGGTCCAAAAGTGACAAGTGGTCACTGGGGAGGATTTTTAATCTCTTAAATGCATCCGATGCTCTCCCATGTCTGCTGTCCTGGTTCACTAAGAGCTCGCTTCTTGAAACATCTTCCCACTCTCCCACTGACTTTTCTCTGCTCAACCAGAGTCAACCCGTTTCTCCAAACCCAAGATCAGACCCGGTCATTCAGCCCACTCTGACAAGGTCTTCTAGACCCTGGAGGGCTGATGGACACTTGAAAAGCTCTGCCCGACTGTCTGGATCCCTCTCCCCCTTGAGTGGAAGCTGCACACGATCCGTGTTAGGGGCTCATGGGCCTCGGGGCCCCTTAGAGGGTTCACTGCACAAAGCAGATTCTCAGCACTTGCTCCTGGGTGGGTGGATTGAACCGAGACTCCTGGAGGCGGCAGCTCAGAGGATTTGAAGTTGGAGCTCAAATTGTGTCTGGGGGGAACCAGACGGTCAGAGACATTCCCAAGGTCACCAGCTTGTAGACCCAGTGAGCAGGCAGCTAAGATTAGCCACTACCTGCCCTAGACTCATGGTTCCACGCAGGGTGTCTCCTGCCCTCAAAGGCTCTCTGCTTGGGGTATTAGGAGAGCAGTGGACCAGCCCAGCCTCCCTGTCACTCCTCGTCCCACTGAATCCCAAACCACCCTAGCTGACTTTCAGTATTTCCACCCCCCTGAGCATTTTTTCCTTCTTTGAGGCTTTTCTCCCTGAGCGTCTGGTCCCAAGGACTGCACTTCTCAGCAGTTCTGAGTCCCCAGGCGCTGTGCTGCTTCCACAGATATGAGTATAAGGAACAGCTCAGTCAGCCTGGCTGGTGTGGGGAAGATAGCAACCCTGAGACCAGAGGCCCCGGAGGGAGCTCTGAGGCCCGGCGGGGAGGGGCCACTCAGCCCATCACAACCACAGCCCGCTCTTTGTCAGATGCCAGTTGCCCGGGCTTGGCAATGGACCAGATGCTTCTTGTGCACTAAAGGATGTCTAGGAGCATCCCTGATCCCTACCCTCTGGATTCCAAGGGCACCCACCCTCCCCAGTTGTGACAACCCTGAAATGTCTCCAGATACTGCCAAATGTCTCCTGGGAGGCAAAATCGCTTCTAGTTGAGAATGACTGGTCTCAACCTTTGCCAGCCTTTGGGTGAATTCCAACCTCCACACTGGTTATACGTATTTATATAGAGTCCAGGAAATACCAATTCAGGCACTCCTGTATTTTACCCTGTTGACTTCCAAGCCTTGAACTGGTGTGCCCATCATCTCTCCACATCACGAAAGAGTGAGTAAGTAAGTAAGTAAGTAAGTGAAAGTTGCTCAGTCGTGTCTGACTCTTTGCGACCCCATGGATTGTAGAGTCCATGGAATTCTCCAGGCCAGAATACTGGAGAGGGTAGCCTTTCCCTTCTCCCGGGGATCTTCCCAACCCAGGTATCGAACCCAGGTCTCCTACATTGCAGGCGGATTCTTTACCAGCTGAGCCACAAGGGAAGCCCAAGAATACTGGAGTGGGTAGCCTATCCCTTCTCCAGCGGATCTGCCTGACCCAAGAATCAAACCAGGGTCCCCTGCGTTACAGGCAGATTCTTTACCAACTGATCTCTCAGGGAAGCCCCACGCATGAGTAAACTCCCCATAAATCAAGTCAACATCCCTTCCTCTCCCTGGAGCCTCCCCGACTGAACTGGAAGTTCTCTGGAAATCTCACTTGAGGTCTGTTTAAAACCACATTTTAGATCCAGAAGGATGACTGTTGATTGCCTCCCAGTGGGCAAAGATTCCAGCTAACAGGGGATAAGGAAGAGACTGCTTAAATAATTATAGACCAATAACCAGGAAGCACATGTTTTAGGAGGAATTACATGTCCACACTGGGCTTGTGGATGCCACAGGCCAATATATCCCCAACATGCATTTATCACACATAAAGCACTTTCTGTGGCACTGCCATCGTGGGCTACCTCTACCCCTCTGTGGACCCTCCACGCTTTTCTCTGGATCCACTTGGCCTCCTTTCTTCTCCCACCCTTTGTTTCTTGTGCAAAGGCCCTGAGGCAGGAGAGTGTTTGGCATATTTGAGCAACAACAAGGAAGCCACTGGGCTTCCCCGGTGGCTCAGTGGTAAAGAATCCACCTGCCAATGCAGGAGACATGGGTTCAATCCCTGAGTCAGGAAGATCCCCTGGAGAAGGAAATGGCAACCCACTCCAGTATTCTTGCCTGGAGAATTCTATGGACAGAGAGCCTGGCAGGCTAAAGTCCCTGGGGTTGCAGAATCGGATACGGCTGAAGCGACCAAACAACAACGACAGAAAGGAAGCCACTGTGGCTGGAGTGGGATGAGAGGTGGAACATGAGCCATGCTGGCCCCAGGATGTACCCTGGATTCATCCCACTCATATCGCAGGCCAGTGTCTGGTATGACGGGCAGGATCTGAACAAAGTCAGTTACTCCAGGGGTCTCTGTAGCAGATTCTGTGCTTCCTCCAGGGGGAAACTGACAGACAAAGGCCAGCCTGGAGTACCCTCTGCCTACACAGGTGGAGAGCTTCTCCCTGGAGCTGGTCCCCACCGAGAGCTTAAAGCCTCGTCTCTGTTTTTGCATGCAGGAATCTGAGCGGCTGGAACTCATGAACGCTGAGCTGAAGACCCAGATCGAGGAGCTCAAGCAGGAGCGACAGCAGCTCATCTTGATGCTGAACCGGCATCGTCCCACCTGTATCGTTCGGACCGACAGCGTCAAGACACCCGAGTCAGAAGGCAACCCTCTGCTTGAGCAGCTTGAGAAGAAGTGACCGTGGGCTGGGAGGAGGACAAAGGAGGAACAAGGAGGAGATGGCAAGAGGGAGGAGGAGGAGGGCACCAGAGGGCTCTTCCTTGGTGTGCGAAAAACTTTACACCAGAGGCTCAGCACAGCCAGTAATTGGCCGGGCCTTTGTTTTTTTTTTTTTTTTTTGTGAAACTCAGATCAGCCACACAAGGGGAAGAGCCGGCTGATGAAACCCAGAAGGACCAAGCGCTGAGACCAAAGTAGACTCGAGGGTGGGGCTGTCCCTCTGGGGCCCAGCTCCACAGAGACAGGACAGAGACACCCTGGCCAGAAAGCAGCCTCAGGCACTTCTCTGGGCTCTCCGCCCGGGTACCCACCCCAGGGACCTCCGAGCAGCCAGGAAAAGCCATGAGTTGCAACCAAACGCACGGCTGAGGATTGAACCGAGCGACACTGCCATCTGCCTGCCCCAGCCCTGACCCCTGACCCTGATGCAAGGCCGGAGAGAGAGGGTCGCGATGTGGGGCCCGGCGGGGCCCTGCCGTGGAGCAGCAGCTGGGCGCACCCTGGCCAGCCCTGCTGGAGTTTGCTGTGGGCACGAGGCGCGGGCGCCCTTCCAAAGCACATACTCATTGAATGTTTACAGACTGGCTGTCCTGGCAGGGCTTTCAACTGCACATGTTTTTTATACTTTCTTTTTTTTTTTTTTTTAATATTTTTTACAAAAAAAAAAGATTTTATACAAGCAATATATATATGGATTTCTATAATCACTCAATGTGATACAGTATAAATATGCTACAGTTTGTTTGTTACGAACAAATATCCAGCAGTTATGGTCATCGTGTGTAACTTCTAAGTACTGTAGTCTCTGGGTGTTGGGGGGGTGGCCGGGGAGGGGGTGGGGTGCGTTTCCATCCTGGTAAACCCTTCATAGTACTCAGCCCTGTATCACGCAGTAAACGTTACTCTTACTTACCCAGCCACCTCCTGTAGTGTCTGCCTGGGGAATGGGGGTGCAGGGCATACTTGGTCACCCGTGGTGTGCAGTGTCGGAGAATGTTTGGAGCATCTACTGTGGGCCCTTGGTTTTCACAACAATCCTTCCCTGTTAAGTCTTTATATGCCCATTTTACAGATGAGGAAGTCGAGGCTCAGATAAGTTATTATATATATACACAGTACTTCATTTATTCACTCAGCAAATGTTTCCTAAGTGCCAGCTGGGAGTGTGCCAGGTACTCTTACCAGGTGCTGAGTAGTCCCTGGGCCCTGCACTTATGGAGCTGATGGTCATGAGCTAGATTTTGTACCTGCTCCATACACTGTTCATTTTCTCAACAGCCTTGACAAGGAGCAGCAATCGTCCCAATTTGCAGATGAGGAATTCGAGGCCCAGGGAGTTTAAAACTTGCCCTCCTGAGGACTTAATGGGGTGACTAGCATATATAGTCTCATTCACTTCTCTCAAAACATGAAATAGGCATCATTACCCTTCATTTTATAAATAACTGAGGCTCAGAGCGGGTATGTGACTCATCCAAGGTCACCCAGCTAGTGAGGAGCAGAGCTGATGCTTGGACTTTGCTTCCCAAGGCCCGTGACTCTCCCGCTGCGGCCAGCTAATTGTGGGATTGCCCCCATGAGGGAACGTCTCACCTGATTAGAACAGGAGGTCTAGGAGGCCATGATTACAGGGCTAGTTTCTGGGAGGGCTGGATGGAGTTCCAGGCTGTGCCACGATCGTGGAGTGGACCAGTGATGTGAGCAAATGGTGTGGCTGTCTCAGCCACACCCTCACCTTCACAGCTGAACACCCGCCCTGAAGAGCAAGAAGGACTCGATGCTGTAGGCAAGAGGTGCCATTCACGTGGCACATGGTGGCTCATAAGACACTTTTATGCATGTTACTCTTTCAATATTCCAGATCTAGGAGGTAGATGGGAGAGGGGTTTCCGTTCCATTGTATAAGCTGTGCAAGTTGAGGCTTACAAAAATTAATGTTTGAGACTTCCCTGGAGGTCCAGTGGTGAAGACTCTGTGCTTCCAACGCAGGGGACGTGGGTTAGATCCCTGGCCAGAAAACTGAGGTCCCACGCCCTGCATGGTGCAGCCAAAAAAAACCCCCAAAATAATGTTTACACAGCTGCAAACAGGTAGAACCAGGAGCTGAAGCCTCCTCTTCTGTCTACTGGTGTATTCTCCCTCCTCCATCACTAGGGCTAGATAACTAGTTGCTGCTGGTCAGGCTTCATGTCAAGGACAACAGTGAGCTTGGGTTGCTTCTCACGTCTTGAATGAGGACTTCCAGGATGGACAGGAGCCAAGAACAGGTCATTAAAGTGCCTTTGGTCCCTTACTTCCTCATCTCAGGTCGCTCTACCCAACACACTTACTGTGCCACCCCTGCCCGCCTGGCAGCCCACTCCAGGCTTCCCCTGGGAAGCAGGCAGGGCCTGTCAGCTCCCTGGCAGTTGTGGTGGCACACAGTAAGCCCTCAGGCTGTGATCCTTTGACAGTTGCCAAGCCTTGAGAGAAACAAAGACATGGATTTGCAGGCCCCTCACATGATTGGGTGGCCGTTCCGGCAGGACCACCGCCCACCCCTGGCTGTGGTTCCTCTGGTCCTGTCCTGGGAGCTGCCAGCCTGTACCTACCAGCCGGTATCATCCTTTGCCTCCGAGGACGGGCTGTTTCCCAGAATCAATGACACGTGCTGTGCCAAGACCCACCCTTCCTCACCAGGACCCCTGCTTCCTGCAGTGGGAAGCCAGAAGTCACAGTCGTCTGTCTCATAAGAGCTAACATTCTTGTGTTTCCTGTGCTCCTGGCGTGTTAGATGTGCTACCGCGGCCAGTCTGTATGACCTTGTCAGGAGGTAGGTACCATTGTTCCCATGTTGCAGATGAGAAAACGGAGGCACAGAGAAGAAGGCACTTGCCAAAGGTCACAGTCCTTTGAGTGGCAGAGCCAGAATGTTCTTACAGTCTGACTCCAGGTGTAAAAAGCTGGACGGGGCTTCCCCCTGGGGGAGACACTCTGTGTTTCTGCTGTGACCTCAGTTTTGTGTGTGGAGGCCGGAGAGATGGCTTGGGTTGAGGGTTCCCAGCTCTCAGACACCCATCTCCAAGTCTAAGTACATAAGACCCACTTTAAAGGCTAATAGGTTCACGATCAAATCTTCTACTGACTAGCCACGAGCCTCAATTTTCTTATCTGTAAAATGGGAACAGTAATTAAGTCTTTTTTTTTTCTTTAATAGTGTTGTTGTCATGGTCAAATATGGAATGCATGTAAAAGTGTTTTCAGAAACACAAAGCTCCACAAAGTGGTAAGTCTCTTGCTCTCTGTTAGCTTGAACAGTTGTTAATTACCACAGAGTGCAGATCACTTGAATATCTTTTATTCCCTAAAGGTGGCTGCAGGGTTAGTGTTCTGGCCATGTATCCAGTTCCCATAGCAATGGACTCATATATGAGAGTTTGCTCAGCTCCTGAACAGTCACAGCCAGCTATATTGGATTCATCATCCTCTCCCTGGGCTTTCTTGTGCCTTCCTGCCCGGTGGTCATAAATGAGATATGTACCACCTCTGCCCAGGGTTGCTGTGAGAATCAACTGGGCAGCCTGACAAGGATAAGACCCATTAACAGATGGGCAGTAACCAGTAGTGCTGGTCAGGATTCAGATTAAAGGGAACTAGCCTGTGCTGCCAGTGGGAAATTGGTGTGACTGTGCAAAGCAATTTGGCAATAACCGGTGGCACTAAAGCTAAACCCATCCTTTGACCTAGCAATTTCCCTTATAAGTATACATTTTTGGAAGAGCTCCAGCATAGGGGCACAAGGAAAAGTACAAGCACATTCACTGAAGCTTCATCTGTGTTTAAGAGAAGTTGGAAACAACCTAAATACTGATGAACAGAAGAGCAGATAAACTGTGTTTTCATAAAATTGAGTATTATTCTGCAGGTAACTAAAAAGGATGTATCAGAACTACAAGCATCAGTGTGGATAAACCTCAGAAATACACTGTTGAACTGGAGGATGAGAAGCAAGTTGCAGAAGAATATATGTGGTGTGCCATTTATGCAAAATTTCCAAATATGGTAACTGATTGTTTATTGTTTATGGGTACACACAGATCTGGGTGATAGAGGTATAAAAGCATGCATAGGAATGCTATCAATATCAAAATCAGTAAGGGGAGGAAGGGGTTTGGGATGGTGTCTGCAAGGCTATAAAGGACACTGGGTTTCAACTGTATGTGTAACATTTCATTAACTTTTAAAAATCTGAATCAAATGTAGGATAATGTTTGCATTTGTCAGATATGGGTGATGGGCACACACATGTGGGTTATCTTTTCCACACTTCTCTGTATGCTTGGTATATTTCCTAGTTAAAAAAAAAAGAACAAGCCACAGACAGCACCAATAGAAGGTTTTGTTTTACCATCCTTTCCTTGGCAAGCTCAGGAAATAAAAAATCTGAAATTACAAAGCCGTCACAGCATATGCTCTTTGAATTTATGCAAATTTTAATTGCATGCCTTGAGGGAGAGAAAGTTGATACAAAGCGTGTGATTTGTTTAGCTGGCCCTTCTCGTTAATAAGCCGTGTGTCTGGTGGTGAGGGTGCCCCGGGGTGAGGGCACCTTGGGGATTGTTGATCTGTACCACTTCAGTGGGTCCTGGTACCACCTGTTCTCTACATAATAAGCCATGGAAGGCATGTTCAAGGTTAATTTGGACTCTAACTTTTCTTGTTACATCCTGAATTTTCAACCCAATCCCTGAGTAAAATGCAACTGCACCTTTAAGGGTGGCTTTAAAGCAAAGGGGGAATCTTTTAAAGGTGTATTGCATGCCTATTGCTGCTATAACAAAGTGCCACAGATTTAACACAAATTTTGATATCTTAGAGCTCTGAAGGGCAGAAGTCCAAAATGGGTCTCGCCTGGTTAAAAGCAAGGTGCCAGCAGAATGCATCCTTTTTGCAGGTTCTGGGGAAATCTATTTTCTAGCT